TTTTTTTTTTTTTTTAATATAATTTCTCTGAACATCATAAATAATGCTTGAAATACAAAGATTTAACGATTGTTATTAACATAATTTAACATTTTAAATAGTGGAACATTATATATATTATATATAAGAAACATGAATTTTCATTATATTTCATATTTTTGTTTTCTATTTAGATATATATTATTATCCCTGTTAATTAATTTTTTGATAACATTCTATTTATAAGTAACTCATTAATAGATAATCAATTGATTTTAATTACGATTAAATTATTTTGCTTGACTGATATTGTTCGTTTCACATATTGGTAGACCGATAAATACAAATGCATTTATCATTTAGATGCATATAAGTATATGACCTCTTTACTTGTGTGCCACTTTTCGTATGTCTTATAGTATAGTTTCAAAGTGTGTACGACTGAAAAGAAGATAGTGAAGATATGAGTTAGTGAGTATAAATTTTCATAATTCATGAATACAGAAGTTTTTAATTTATAATCGATTATATATTCTTTCATTGAACGATCAATTATATGACATTTCGAGTATGAGAACGTTATCGTTCATTCAGCGAATTTATTGTGATTTGCTTACTTAGCCTTCTCTTCAATTACGATCACATCTGTGCCGATTAAAGCTCGAGGAGTTAAACCCTTTTAATGGAAATGAATAGATGATTAAATCTCCAGGATTTATCTCTTTTTTTCGATACTTAAGGTCGATGCACGATTAAAAGGCAACATAGTATAGATAATACAACAGTATCTTTGTAACTGTAAACCTTATCAATCAATAATTTGTTTGATAACTTAATTGACTTTGTTAAACTATATTTATTTTCAGTATGGATATTGACACTAGATTTATTTGTATGTTCATCGGATCATATTCGACAATATGTTCCAAGATTATAGGAAAGATTATAATTGTAATTTAATATTGACACTGTTGTAATTGTATAAGAGATAATTGTTTATATTGTGTAAAAAAATACTGTTTTGATAATCTTAATAATAAATATTCTTTTTTTATGTATTAAGTACAAAGCAATAATAATAATAATAGTAGAGGAATATTATTAAAAAATGCAAGTTGAATAATAATTTTCACATTATTATATCAAGATATGAAAATTTGTTAGAGTAATAGATACAAAAATTTAGTCCATTGCATATATTTAAAAAAAAAATTCTTCAACTTTTTCAAACTTAATAAGTTTATACGATAGAAAATATTATGTTAAACGAGTGGTTAAGAAAGTTTACAACAGTGATATTAAAAAGCAAATTCATAATATCCGTTTTTAAACGGAAATATACGTATTATACACGTAAGGTTTAAAATAGTAATAAAAATAATTACATTGGATATATAATAGCATTATGAAAATAATAATATACATTTCGAAAATTGTGGAACAATCGAGAAACAGATGATCCTTGATATAATAATACATTGTATGAAAATACATATGTATAATAAATTGAATAAAATTTAGTAAGTTGAAGTGAAAAAAAACCTGGTTTTTCAAGAAAATCAAGTTTAAGAGTTTAAAAAAATATTGAATCCGTACCTTAACCTTCTTTCGCATGACGATTCGTGAATATGGATATCGATTGTATACATATAACCAGAAAGCGATTCTTGTGAAATTTAGAATTGCAATTTCAATTCGTATATCTTCGATCGATTTGTTTGTCTTTCGAATCTTCGATAATTTTAATCGAACTGAAGTTGCTGATAAATCATAAAAAAATAAATAGCCTTATACGACATCTACACGACTAGCTCATTGACAATAGGTTAAACAAGGACAGTGCTGCGAAATTAGATACTGCATCGGATGAATACCTTATGCCGCGTCCACACGGACGCTGTTCACGGACAACTCGCGAAACATGATCGCCAGCAGTGTGGACATTTCAACAAACTACGAGCAGGTTATAATGAACTCGTCTGCGAACAGCAAAGCAATGGCGGTACATTATTTCGATATATTTGAATCGTATCCGATATTTGGTGATATTGACATATTTTATAACGAAAATAAATGATTTGTTTGAATCAAATTTAAATTTAAATACAATAATAATTTAAATACAATACATGAAATGGCATAATTATAGAATAAAAAATATGGAATTAGAATAATTTTACTGTTGAATTTAATTATAAAATGTATTACTGAAATACCAGTTTTTCAATAGACAATGGATCTAAAAATAACAACTGCTGCAAATGTTCTTCGCTTAAAAGATTTCTTGTTTATTATTGAATATTTGTTACGTTACTATTTTTTTAATTTTCATCTAAGGCTCGCGAAAAAATATTTATTAAGATTACTTTTATTTATTACTTTTGTTTTCAGGTAACAGATTGAAAAATAAATTGAAAACCAATCGCAAATTTTATGAGATGATGATGATTATTTCCTTCGCTTATTATATTACAGCGATTCTATCGAAATTTCGAATATCTATAAATTAAGTATACTCGATATTGGAATACATCTTTACATTAAATATCGAAATATATATCATAATATATTCAAAATATTGTATCATCATTAGTAATCGCTTGGAAGGCACATCAAAGAATTTATTGAAAGCATACGTGTTGTAATGGTTTCAATTTAATCTTTTTAGAATTGGCTAAAGCTGTTTTAATGCGAATAAAATATTTTTGTTGTTTTCGAATAGTTCACGAAAAACTGTCGTCAGTATAGATGTAACATAATAGTCGGATATAACGAATTTTACATGAAAAGAAGCTTATTATAATGCGTCATTCAAGTAACTTGATTTACAATTACAGCTATTTGTGCTTGCAAACACAATATTAAAATTTTTAACTTTCTGATAATTTATTTATCGTAAATAATATAAAATAATTTATAATAATGAATCAAAATTGAATTAAATTAAATTGAAAGCTAATATTGAGGAGTTTGTATAAGAAGAATTTAAATTCATTATTGGTGTTTCCTCAATTCGTTAATCGATAACAAGAGTAATATTTTCATTATTTAAATAATAATATTAATAAATTAAAACTAAATAAATTATTATAATATACTTTTCAAAATTATATTAAAAAATTTATTAATTTATAAATTAACACGGACAAAATACGAGGTTAATTAAATTGAATCTAAATCCATCCAACAAATTTTCAAATATAACTTTCTCGAAAATATAATCCTCCTGTAAAAAAATTTTATTCAATATTTTTAATTTATTTTTGTCACCTTCGTTTCGATCGTACTATAATATAATATAATATAAACTAAAATTACTAAATCAATCATTTGTTTAATTAATTTGATAATTCGTATATTATCACTTAATTTAAAAAAAAAAACAAAAACTTTTCGATATACAGTTATAAACGATTGATTTTTACAAGATTGATAATCTCTTTCGACCAGATACCTTGAGAAAAGTAGAACGCGATAAAGAAACAATACTCGATAATTTTATCGAGATCCATGCATATCGACTTGTATCGATTTATATTTTTCCCTCGAGTAATCTTAACAAGAGCAATGAACCGAATTCTCGATAAGCGATTAAGATTTGACTCGCGAATGGAGTCATAACATCACGTTTGATCGTTCATGAAATTTCCTAAATTAACAGATTCGACTGTTCGAGTTCTATTTTATCTTTTGATCAATAATAGACCCCCCTCCTTCCATTTCTTTCGCTTGATTTGGTTATAATCTGTGAAACTCGAATCAAAGGATTCGATTTTTCATTGCTCCGATAGATATCCGGAGCAAAAGTGCAGACTACCTGAAACGAGCATGATAAAAATAGAAATTTACGTTAAATATATACTCGCATTGTTATACAAGTGTTATACGGTTAATAACGCGAGGAAAGTTGAGAAAACTGAGTTCCCCTGAGTTTTACAGTCGATCGAGAAAATTTAATTAAAATTTCGATCGATCGATGAATTAAAATCGAAGAAATCTCGTTCAGTTATTATTTTATGATGTCGCAGATATATTATATGTAACGGACGAAATATTTCGCCAAATTTTCTTTAGAAATAATTTAATCCGAAAATTTGAGATTAAAAATTCGTTTATAAGATATTTGATGAATGGAGATCAAGAATGATAAATATACATTGTATTTTTGCAAATTAATTTTTTTATTTTTTTTTGAAATATAATTGATCAAAGGTAATATATAAATAAATATTTTTGTTGTTCCCTAAAAACATTATTTAAGATGCGTCGCAAAAATAATAGATGATAGACAACGCAGAGAAATTATAAATATGTTTGCAAAATATAATGTTTTATTAATGAATAAAAGATACGTGAAAAATACACAGCATCTTATAATTATATTATTATTGCGATATGAGATATTTCTGTATTATTAAAACCGAAGCATCTCATTCATTAATCGCTGAGAAATTAATAAAAAGTTCACCATTCAACACTGTTCAACACTTCAGAAATAAATGTCTCTCAATTCTCAAAATAAAACTGCTTTATCGCGACTCAATCTCGCGAATTAAAATAGAAAGAAATATCAACAGAATTAATGATCGATGGTTGGTAATTCTTTTTTTAAAAAAAAGAAAAAAAAAGTGACCGGGGTGTTATCTTGGTCAACCCAATTAGCTACGAAATCAAAGATAATGCAATAAAATTGAGGGGGAGACGCTTGAAACTGATAGGGACAAGTATATAAAATGCAAGTGTACGCTTGCCGCGGCGCAGATCACGAATCGAAGCGGGAGCCGTGCCTCCCGCTCGTGGCCAATAACAATCGTCCTTTCACGTGTGGAATTCGAAGCTCTACCAAGGCTGTTCACCTGTTTTTCTCCTCTTTCTTATCGTTCCTGTCGCGTAAGTTACTGGCACTGGCCTACGGAAAAATAGATAATTATAAATTTCTCCTCGACAGAGAAGATGTATGTATGCATCTTCTGATTAAACTCGACTTTATTGATAATTTTCTTTTCTTCTCTCTAACATTATATAGCGTTAACGCATACGCAAGAAAGAAAGAGAAAGAAAAAAAGATGTTGACGTGTTATGTGACCGCTGTGCAATACGAGTGGATGAACAATCGTGAACGGCACGGATCGAATTTTGACTCGCGATACAAAACGATCAGTGATCGGTATAAAAATATACATATACATATATATATATATATATTTGTGAATATTCCTTCTTTTTTCGGAAGATAAAGTCTGATCTCGTTGCAGAAACAGTGTGAACGTCGAGGGAGCAACCCACAAACAGGTGGTGGATTTGATAAAGTCAGGGGGCGACGTGTTGACGTTGACAGTCATCTCTGTCACGCCGCAAGAAGCGGAAAAGCTCGAACCGTTCGAAGACTTGAGGTACGAAAATTTGATTTTTTTCTTCTATCATCGAAATAAAATTATTAAAGTAAGATTATATATACTCGAACGAATATTTCCTTCGTCCCTTTCTAATTTTATTCCGCTTATTGCATTTATTAACGCGTCTTAACTTTCTCTTAGTTATGCATCGGTGGACTACAGCGAAAAGCGATCCCTACCCATCAGCGTACCGGATTATCACGTTCGTGAGAGGAAACACGAACGTTACGTCGTTTTCAACGTTCACATGGCAGGCAGACATTTATGCTCTCGACGTTACCGGGAATTCGCCGCTTTGCACATGGCTCTCAAAAAGGAATTTATCGGATTCAACTTTCCCAAATTACCTGGAAAATGGCCATTCCAGTACGATCAGAATTTTCTATTTAATGATACATAATTTCTATATATATATATATATATATATAAATATATCGTGTAATTTTTAGATTGAGCGAGCTGCAACTCGACGCGAGAAGGCGCGGTTTAGAGCAATATTTGGAAAAGGTTTGTGCCGTAAGAGTAATTGCCGAAAGCGATATCATGCAAGAATTCTTGGCTGATAGACTCGAAGAAGATGGTGATCAAGGGCCAGCAGTCGATTTAAAAGTACTGCTGCCGGATCGCGAGGTTGTTACTGTTACAGTTGCTAAAGCGGCCTCTGTCAGTGATGTGTACGATGCAGTTTGCAGTAGAGTGGGATTGGACGCAGAAACGGCGAAATACTTTTATCTTTTCGAAATCGTCGAGTACAATTTCGGTATGTATTCTCGAATATCGTTTTACATATATATANTATATATATATATATACATATATATGTATAATATATGTATAATGTATATGTATAATGTGTATATATATATTATACATTATATATATATATATATGTATAATATATGTATAATGTATATGTATAATGTATATATATATATATATATAGGATCATTTCGTACCCAACTATATTACTCTTTAAAAAATATATATATATATATTCGCTTTATAGAAAGGAAACTGCAACCCCACGAACATCCCCATACTTTGTACGTTCAAAATTACTCGACCGCCAGTGTGACGTGTTTAGCAATAAGAAGGTGGCTTTTTAATTTAAATAGACCGCTCAGCGAGCAAGCGTTAACTTGGATATTTTGGCAAACGGTGGACGAAGTGAACAGGGGGCATATCACGGCAGGAGAAAGATTATACCAGTTGAAAGCGTTGCAAGACGCGTCCAGGAAACACGAGGTACAAGAGAGCAATTCCTTTTCCAAAATTTATTTTATATACTTATATAATTTATATAATTCGTATTTTACAATAATTCGTAAGCCGTGTATATTATTTTAATTCTTTTTGTCCGCAGTATCTAAAATTGGCGAGAGAATTGAGCGGTTATGGTGATATCGTGTTCCCTCATTGCGCATGCGATTCGCGCAAAGAAGGACACGTTGTCCCCGCTGTAGGTGCACCAGCATTTAAGCTGCACGCGGCGAAGGAGGACGGCACTTTGGAATCTCAAGTTGTCGAATTTCAATGGAACACTATTACACGATGGGAGGTGGATGAAGAAGGGATGGCGTTCTGTTTTCAATATACGCGTCAAGATAACCGTCCACCGCGTTGGCTCAAGCTTTTCACACCTTATGTAA